ACGCTCCGGCTGTATTCCAGAGGCTAATAGTCAAAATTTAAGAGTGGTCTTGATGTCATGGTATATTGGATGATCTGCTAGTGTTATCAGAAACATTCCAGGAACACTTAAACGACTTGCAAAAAGTATTTGACCGACTTCAAAAAATCAACCTACGAGCTAACAGAGAGAAATGTACCTTTGCCACTACAAACATTAAATATCTTGGTCATGTATTAACTTCTGAAGGTATTGTTGTAAACCCCGAGAAGGCCTAAGCGTTACGAAGATTAAAGTAGCAATGATCCTACTTCACATGCGAGGACGTTTTATGTGAAGTAGAGGGAGATTATAACAAACCCATATTTATATGTAACAAACCCATATTTATTATATCTCCATATTACCTATATGTATCACCTATAACCTATTGCCACATACAAACTGGTAGAATTTTTTTTTTCAACTGGATTGTCAATCAATCAATCAAAATAATTTAAAAATGTTAGATTTTTCTGCGAAATAGAGTAGTTAACAGTGATTTGTTATAAAAGTTATTTTATTGATTTCGGGTTGCTTTTCTAAAAAGTATCATTGCGAATTAAGGCAATGAATGTACTATTTTATTGCGACGACTATCAATAATCTTTATTAATAACAACAATGATTCAATACTATACATGATTAAGCAGCGCATTGAAATTGTAAAAATTTACCATAAAAATGGAGAAAGTTTCGTTATCTACAAAATGGTATATTGTAGATTATACAACTCACTGTATATTATTCCCATATGACACGAGAGGCTTAAGAAGTGATAAGCCTTTTGGGAGTATCGCGCGTGGTGGCATTTATGGCAAATTCTATTATAGAATTTTTTTTTAATTTTAAAGTTTTATAGTTTAGTTCATTGCTTAGAGCAGACCTAATACTTTTATTTTCACTCATTTGTAAAACGTCATTTATCAAGTCAAAACATAAAAAACGAAAATTGATTTTTACCAGTGACTGGCTCTACTTACTTGTAAAATTGACAGCTAAACTGTAAAAACTTTTTATCTACAAGCGTGCGGTAACTAAAATATATTACACGATTTTGCGTGCGGTAAGCACTACATTACCGCACGGCGTACGGTAATATTATTACCGCACGCTCTACCTACATAGGTACGTACCTTTAATTACCTGCCAGAGATAAATTACCTACCTATCACCTAAATTCTACTTGTTCACTGTCACAGGTGACAGACGTAATTTTTTTTTATAATTTTTTAAATTTATTTCAGATAATTTGTTACCGCACGCTTGTAGATAATATACTGTATATAATGCGTATGGTAATTAGGTTATTACCGCCCTTAGAGATTGCAAACCTCGCCTCACCGGCTGGGTTTGCAAATTTCTCTCGCGTGCGGTAATAACCTAGTTACCACACTTATTATATAATATACTATTACAAGTCAGTAGGGTCAGTAGAATTATTTATTAATAGTATATTACAATCCGAGACGGGAAATGCTTCATTACTGGTCGAGAGGTTTTATAGTTTATCGAGACGCGTAGCGTCGAGATAAACTTAACCTCGAGACAGCAATGAAGTTTCCCGTCGAGGGTTGTATACTATTTTATTTTTAACCATAATTTCTGAAAAAAAAAAAAAAAAATCGGGGCAACCAAATGAGGTCGGCAAATGAAGAGGAAAATGAGAACGGGAAATATTTCCCTGCTCCATTTTCCGTCCGTGGACGGGAAATGAGGACGGAAAAAATTTCCCGTCCTCACTTCCCGTCCTGGGACAGGTAATGGAGCAGGAAAATGAAAAGACAGAAATGTGACATTTTCAAATTTTTGAAAAGTCAGTAATGACAACATTTCATATATGGTTAAAAATAAAACTGTATTACCTATGTATTAATTTTTTATTTATTATTTACAAATGAGTAACAAATAAATTATTGTACATCATATGCCAGGTATCAGTTTTTACTGGCTCTTGAAGGTGACAAGCTCGCCTGACGGCTCGCCAGTCATTTCCTTCAATCATCAGTAAAAAACTGTTTTACCTGGCTAATAATGTAAAATACTATTACCTGACACTCAAAGCGTTACCAGCAACACCACTCCTCCTTCGGAGTCGTGGTGTTGCTGCGTAACGCGTTTTGTGACAGGTAAAAGTATTATCCGGTAATCCTGAAACCTCTTGTGGTATTTATTACATTCGATAAGCCATATCCATGACGTGGGTTCGCGATATGAGATTAATTGAAAATTACATTACAAGCGTTTCGTGGTTAAGTTTATTGGTACCCATAAAAAAAAAATATATTAAAAAATCTAAATACAATTATTATTCTATTCAACAAACCCTTACTGTACTGTGTCTTATGTTTCACTTTTTAAATTTCCTAACTTCCTATTTTTTCTCATCTGCCAAATGCGAAGTCTAGCGACCTATAACACTTGGTAGTATGCGAGAAAACTTACCCTTGATAATGAGGTTCTCTATCCTCGAAACATGTAGGGCTCTTTCACGGGTAATTAAAGTATTTTGTGGAGGAAGACTTTGTGTTTTCTTTTGAAATTTAATTTCAATTCCACTTTGAGAGATAGACAATTTGAAATCAAAAGTTCCGAACCAGTTCCAACTCCCAAAATTTGTATTTCGCCAACGATTAGTCGAGAGGCAAATCCTAAGTTGAAAAACTTTCACTTGAAATCCGACAAAATGAACTTCTATACTTTCATCAATTGGTCCCAAAACAGACAAATCAGAATATAGGAAAGTTAAAGAAAAAAAAGATCCCAGCAACGCTTCAGAGTTCATAGGTAGGTATATAAGGGCAAAATTTTAAATGTTCCTTGAGGCGTCCTCAAGGGTCGTTAGTTTAGAATGGACACTTGTTACCATTTGAGAAGTCTATCAAGTCAATTTTAAACGTCCAAGGCTTTCTTAAGGTCCAATATGGATTTTGTGTTATGTTTTAGAGAAAAATCATTGACCGTCGCGTATATACACTGTATCTGCACTTGCGACGACGTTGTGTTTGGTTAACATATGTCGCGGGTTCATAAACTATTTGGGTAAGTTCAATTTAAGTAGACCCTATGATGTCTACTTGTATTATACATAAAAAGAGCGCTCTATCACTATAAAGATTTGCTTTGCATTGGCAAAAATTAATAAGTGAAAATGTATCACATCTGGCCAAAATTTCGACCCAAAACTGATATGCAATATTTAGGTAGTGGAAATAAATTGGAAAAAACCATCAAAACCATTTTATTTTCTTCTCTTTCTTTTTGGAAGATTCACGTTTTTCGACACCGGAACATCGGAACGGATATGCCTATCAGGATTATCAAATTTTAATTAGTTTCTTTAGGATTACAGAACTGTTCGCGCCTTTAATTTCATTGTTATCTGGTCCTACAATGTAATCAATTATCTCATGGGCGTTAAACAATGTTGACAAGTATAATACTGTTAAGTTTTTTACACCTAACGGATATTTATCGAGCCTATTTCTATAAAAATGTGGAAATCATCCTTGTTCTATTAGTTTTCCAATTCCTCTTTTTCCAGAAGATATAGAGTATTAGATTGATTTTTCAAATGGACATTGCATTTTCTTGCAAAACCTATAAATTTATATAACTACTACCTATCGTATTGCATCATAATTACCAGTTTTCTTGACAATAAATCTTCGATTAAATTTAATGACAATTTCGTGAGGTAACAAGATACTTATGAACCTTAACGATTTTAACATTAAATTTAAATAGGTAATGACAGACTTTCTCATCAATGCTTCAATTAAGCTTACTTAAAATGCGTTATCCAAATAACCAAAATCACGAATATACTCAACAGTTTCTGCATACTAGATTAAATAATCACTGGCTTTCATTCACATGACATTCTCACTTTTAAAAATCACATGAAATCTGCACTACTATTATTACTATGATATACTGCCACTGAGTTAATTTTTTCAAATATTAACCAATATTTTTACCTAAAAAAATTAAAAATTAAATGCATACACCCGAAAAATATCTATTGTGTTGACGATAATACTGACATTTACCTTAACTGATAAAATTTAAATTTTTACGACGAAAAATCTCTATTTTGTATTATGATTTATTAGTCGTAAAACGGTATTAGAAACGCCCATTTTGTGGCTTTGCTTAAACGGAAATAATGGATGTATTAAAAATTTGTTCTACCTTATCTGCAAAAGCCCAACCAAAACCAACAAATCTTTCACAACACCTCCATAGTTCATGCTGTAAGTATTAACTATATACGATTTTTAAAATTACCGCCAATCACTACTTATTTCTTCACGAAACCCTAACAAGAATAGACTTGTGTTAATATCTATTATACATATACACCCATGATAATTTTTATAGAATCTAGAATATCATAAAATATGTTTGATAAATATAAACATTGTTTAGGGTTTTTTTCTTGGAAGAAATTCCATGCATGGTCAAAATAAACATTATTAGCATGGTTCTACGTCACTTTTATTGACAGGAAGATGGTGATAAGTATCATTTTCATCTTTACTCTGCCACCTTCTGATAGACTTTATATTAATTACACCACGAAAGAGTTTAATAGGCAAACTCAACTATGGAACATAAAAAACTTTGTGACTAACAAAAACCCATACCCATTCAAGCAAATAAACTAAAACTTGACCTCAGACTGAATGGATGAAGCTAAAAAAATTTAATCTGCTATAGGATTATGGTTTCCAAACATAACTAAAGCTTCTTATAAATCATCTCCAAATCGCTCAAAAAAAAAAAAAAAATAATCGAACAGAATAATCATATTATGCCTTCTTATAGATCATCAATTACCTACTGGTTTGGATGATAACATCAAAATACAAAAATTTTTGGTTCCAAATCTCCCAAAAAAAACTTGTGTCAAATTTTAAGTACATTGAATTCATATTAGTCAAATATTTAAAGTGAGTACCTATATAAAAATATCTTACCTAAACTGATGATACCACAATATCAGCACCACCAGTGCCCTAAAGCTCCTTCCAATGTCCCTACGGAGCATGCTGAATCAATAAAATCTTAAAATAAATCATTGGCACACTTGAATCACTATAATACATCACTGAGAGTCACAATTTTTTTTTAAGTCACGCCAAATATTTCTCATACATTTAAATTCGCACAAATTAAAATCCGCGCGTTCTTAATCCGTTTGATTTTTTTTTTTGGTTTTGATCCTCGTAAGGATGCAGCGAATCTGAAAACAGAGATACACATTCAAGTACTATGGACATGAAAGATAGAATACACCGGTCAGGTTGATCTGTTCTCTTCCATGTCTCTTTCCACCTTGCCGCGGTACTACCTGAACTAATCAACCAATCAAAATGGACCGAACCCCCTCTGGTCTTGCATATAGTTTAGTTTTTAATGTGTGTAATGTGTGGGCGATAGTTATTGCAAATTTAATTAAAGGTACATTTTTAATTCGTATTCAAGCCTATTAAAAGTATTTCATGTTGGAGAAACAGAGGTGATATCACTCCAGGAACAGGAAAAGATTTAAGTTTCATTTTGGCCCATATTAGATCAAAAATAAACATGTCAATGTGGAAGTTCTATTACAATAAACTAGGACAGACACATGATCTTATACGTCCTGTAAAGTATAGTTCGAGGAAAATTTCTTATTATTTTTCAGAGATTTACTTGCCGAGTCAGATAAATTAATTATTGCTCTGCCATAGAATGGCAATAGCTTTTTCAATCAAAGTTTCTTCAATAATTAAATGCGTCTCAACTCGGTCAGATTTTTGGCGTTCATGGTTAGTAAAACAATTTGTAGGGATTTACGCATGCTATATTTTGTATATGAAAATTTTCCGCACAATTCCATTGGCCTTATCCCGAAGAAGTATGGTCTGGACTTTATCTCAATTTATTAGGACCTTTCTTAGAATCTTTCTTACAACCTTTTTCAATTTAAAATATTTTTGTGCCCAGACAGATTTGTAATACCAAGTCTTCCGAACCTGAACCCAATGCAAAAGAACTGCGATTTCTTTGAGTTCCCGTTGGTTACTACGTGGAAAAACTTTTCACAATGGATCGAAAATAGTCACAACGGTGAAATGCAACCGTCGGTAAACGCAACTAGCTATGTGAACTTTAGTTGTGTTACTGAACTGTCTTTTGTAGCTTAGTAATAGTTGTAATAAACGACAGTCAAGTGTTTAAATAATACATAGTGTCAGGTATGCCGTATCCTAAATTATTAAAGATTGAACTCAATCCTGGGAATGTCTTCTACTCTGAAAAATCATGGAACTTTATTTAAACCTCCAGAACCACTGAGTCTACATGGCCATGTAACAGACAACTGGAAGAGGTTTATCCAGAAGTTTGCTCTATTTATGATAGCCACAGGTTTGGATTGAAAGGATTAAATAAAAAAAGTTGCTGTATTTTTGAGTATAATTGGTGAGGAAGGATTGGACATACATAATTCTTTTGCACTGACTAATGCTGAAACAACTTCTGTAAGAGAAAAGTTTGAATCCCAATGTGCATTGTTAAAAAAAAAATTGATTTTTGAGAGATATGTTTTTAACTCGATAGTTCAAAAAGAAGGCCAGCATTTTGATAGCTTTGTCACGGAATTGAGAAGTGTAATTGAGTTGACAGAATACAAGGACCCAGATGATATGGTGAGAGACCGAATAGTTTTAGCATTATCAAATAAATCAACACAACAAAGTTTTATGAGAGAGCCGAAACTAACCTTGCAAAAAGCAGTTAATCATTGTAGGGCAGTAGAACCAAGCAAGTTCAAAACGCAGACTCTGGCAAATGAAGCCTCTGTAAATACCATCAGACTTAGGAAAGGTTCAAACAAAAGTGATGTGTCTTATGGTCAGCAGGAGAAATACAAATGCGGTATTTGTGGTTATAAACATAGTAGAGGCAAATGCCCTGTCAAGGAAGAAACCACTTTCCTAGTGTATGCAAGAAGAGAGAGGCAAATGAAAATAGAAATCAATGCAAGAAAGTCGATGAAGTGAAAGGGGCAGAATTGAGTGATAATGATCAAAGTAATAGTGACTCTGATGATTTTTATACAAGTTTGTTAGTGACAAGTGTTGATGGGGTGACGCAGAAAGCTGATATCGCGTGGACCAATTAAGAAACTAGATGTGGAAAGTACAGGTCTTGAATTTAAACTGGACACAGGAGCGGAAGTTAGTGTGATCCCTGAACATATTTAAGAAAAAGTATGGCATTAAAAATAAACACACAAATCGCATTAAAAATAACATTAAAGATTCTCGAATAACTTTTGTTCCATATGGCAGCTCTGATTTTAGAATTAAGCCTTTTAGAGAAGTCTCACTATTGTGTACCTACTATTAATAACAAGTCGACATATTTACCGTTTGTTGTAGTTGATAATCAAAATCAAATGCCTTTGTTGGGTTTATCAGATTGCCTGAAGTTAGAGTTAGTTCAACCAGTCGATACTGTTCCTTATGTTAACTTAAATACTTTGAAATATGTTGAATTTTTGTATCCGAAAGGGCTGAAAAAAAAAAATATTTGTTAAAGAATTCAACAAAAAAAAAAGTTAAGCTCGGGCTAGGCAAATCTTTTATTGGCCACCTATGTGAGAAAACATTGAAAATTACTTTATGAAGTGAAGGTGTTGCTATAAGGAATTCAAAACAGGTTTGTCATATCCGATTCCAGAACATCCTTGGGAAAGTGTGGGCGCAGACATTTTCCATATGGCGATAGGTCTTATCTTGTAGTTATGGACGCATACTCAAGCTGGTTAGAGTTGATTTCATCAAAAAACAAGTCGGCAAATGAAGTAAAGTCCGTCGATTTCAATCTGATACTCCAAAGGAATGTGAGCTGGTGGCTTCCTACATTAGAACGTCAATGGTCACCTGACGTCACACCTGTTTTCGCCATAAGCTTCACCCCCTTGCTTCTCATACGGAAAGTGTCAGATTAAGGGCCGGTTTCTCAATAGCGAGTGACCTCCGGGCTAGTTTTAACTCCAGGGTAAGCGTGTCCAGTTGCTATGTTTACCCTGGAGTTATGCTTAACCTGGGGTGACTCGCTATTGAGAAACCAGCCCTAAAATAGACGGACAATACTTAGGTAGTTAAAAAAATTTAATAGATTTTCTCCAGATTTGGATGTCCAGGCAAGGTAGTTTGTGATAACACCCTCTCTGGTAGTTTTTCTTCTTAGGAATTTTCCAAAGAGTGGAATTTTTATACGTTTCTAAGAAGCCGTAACTATCCCAGATTTAACGATCCAGCGGAAAAAGCTCTAAGTATTGCAGAAAAGCTACTTAAAAAATCTTTGGAAGAAAGCAAAGATCTATTTGAAGCGTTAATACAATATCGAAAAAAAGTTTTTAAATTACTTCCCCTCTCAGTTACTTATGGGTCGAATGTGCAAGACCAAGTTGCCAGTGCCAGCAGACTTATTGAGTTGAGACAAGGCCGGAATAAGAATTACTTCAATAAGACTGCAACTCAGCTGAAACCTGTAGAACCTAACCAAAATGTTTCGGTCTTTAGTCTTTAATCATGTAGAGAATCGTTGGGAGCCAGGTAAGACATTGGATTTTGCTGAAGGTCCAAGACCTTACGGCTTACAGGGTTTCAGACTGTCATGAGAATGTAATTAAGAGAAATCGTTTTGATCTAAAGGAATCTCATATTAATCATAGGCTGAGCCTGGATTGTGACACTAATGACTTTAGGGACGATTGTGTAAATGCAAATACTTTGGTGGATTGGTAAGGTCAAGCTTCTTGCACTGACTTCCGAATACCACAATTGTCTTGTACGTGAAGCTATAGAAATCCACAAACATACGGAGAACTTCAACAGGAAAGAAGAAACACTAAAGCTCAACCAAATTTGCAGCCTGATGCTCGAAAATTCAAAAAAAAAGATCCCATTGATTACAGAGAAAGTTCAGATTGGCCATGTGCTGCGAAGCCCCGCCTCTCCCCCACCACAACCACTCAAATATAAATACAACTTACGGTCGGAAACACGTCAGTCTTCTACCAGAATCGGTCATGGAAGCACCGCACCTCTGACGATGCGAAACGTCAGGAAGAAATTTCAATTCACGACGGTAATTAAGCCCGAAAGAAAACACTTTATCGATAAACCTAGGCCGCGGAAGCCTCACAAACTTTATCAGACGCCTCTACAGAGAAGAGATCACTAAACAGTACCATCGACTAGACAAAGTTAGACGATGCAAGGCACACTTATTGGCGAATCCAACGTTTCTCTGTCGCTGCCGGGACACTAACATCGTACCAGCGTTCCTGCAGATTAAGCGCTCTTTTAAGACACCCCAAGCACATCGCATCTACTGCAGAACTGAAAAAGCATTTATCCGAGAGCGAATCCACAAAACAAGAAAAGATCTGACTGAAGTAGATAGAGAACTACTTCACCTTCACCTACATCTGACGCTCAGCAACTACATACAGGCAAACGATTGGAACAAAATCGACACCATATCATACTCAAGCATGGATAATGAGTTAGATCGGAGTAAAAAATCCCAGATTCGAAAATACGAGAAGTTCTGTAAGAAACAAATCCGAAATTCCCCAGCTCCTGACAAATCCAGACTGGTCATCAATCTCACGGATCGAGTTCTTACTGAAAAGGAAACAGCAGTCTTGGCAAAAGGCAGTAATTTCGCTATCACTCCACAACACCTGCCAACAGGGGAGATTATAGCCAGCACTGAAACAGCCATCAGAGCACTACCTGATGTGGAAGCAGAAGGAATCCGTATGGAGACGGCTACCATTCTACGAAAGGCTCGACCACCAACTAGTAACCTCTCTAAGAAGGAACTAATGGCAATTGAAAACCTGAATTCAGCGGGATATGATCATCCTACCTGCGGATAGGAGCAACGCAACTGTCCTGTTAAGAACTGAAGACTACAACCGGAAAATTCAGGAACATCCATCTACCTACCGAAAGCTAATGAAGGATCACACCCGAGCCATACTCCGGATTACCAACAAACTGATTAGGTCATCTACCCTAACAGACACGGTTAAGAAAGGCATCATAAAAACGGAAGCGGTTCCACCACGACTCTACGGCCTACCTAAAATTCACGATATTGAAGTCCCGCTAAAACCCATAATATTGTTCGTCGATTTTAATCTGATACTCGGACGGAATGTAAGCTGGTGGCTCCCTACATTAGAACGCCAATGGTTACCTGACGTCACACCTGTTTTTGCCATATGAAACACCCCCTCGTTCCTCATACCGCAAGTATCAGTTAAAAATCGACGAACAATACGTGCACGTGGAGCACCAACGTACAACCTAGCGAAACATCTTGCATTGCTCCTTCAACCGCATATAGAAAAAACTAGCTCTTACGTCAAGGACTGCACTCACTTCGTCGTCTAGAAAATAAGGGATATTATTCTCCAACCTAAGGATATCCTGGTCAGCTTTGATGTCGTGTCTCTATTCACAAAAATGCCATTGACGGAATCTCTTGACTTGATATCAATTACCTTCCCCAATGACATAGTTGAGCTTTTCTGGACATGTCTCACTGGTAGTTACTTCCTGTGGAACGGCGATTTCTAAGAGCAAACGGACGGTGTGGCTATGGGAAGTCCACTCAGCCCAGTCATAGCTAACTTCTTTATGGAGGATTTCGAGAGGAAATCTATCGAATCTTTTGACTACAAACCAACGGTATATGGCTTCGATATGTAGATGAAACCTTTGTGGTTTGGAGTCATGGGGAAGAGAAACTTAACCAGTTCCTAGGCCACCTGAACGCGCAACATCCTAGCACACAATTTACCATGGAGAAGAAGAAAAACCAAGAAATCGCCTTAGGTGTACTCATAAAGAAATCCGGAGGAAAACTAAGCCACACATAGATGATACACACCTACAGGATTGCTTATCGGCGTCGTTTTTGATAATCGCCGCCCTATTGGTGTGTCACCATTTCCGACGTCGCGTCATAACTAAGTCGTCAGCTGTTTAAACAGCCTACGTCAAGGCGAGAAATAATATGCTGCCTACGTCATAACTGGTGATTTGGCGCGGGGGGGAAGTGGGTGATTTGTTCCACACAGACCTTATGAGGATAGGCTATCCTGTAGTAGTAGTGTGTATCATCCTTGACAGACAGGTACCTGCATGCACTCTCAAACCTTCATCCAAGGCAAAAACGTGAAATTTTAACAACATTCACAGAACGTGCTCGGAAGATCTGCGAGCCACAACATCTCGAGCAAGAACTGGATCACCTCAAGTCGGCCTTTTTATCAAATGGATACAATGCATTTGAATTCGACAGGGCCGTGCGACTCAAAACGACCACGGACAAAACGTGGATGAACAACCAGTGGTGGCTAATGCAGATCTACCTTCCATTTCTCGGGTGACAAACAAGTCAACAAGGAAAATACAGCAATCAATCAGATCAGCCAAGGATAAGAGGAACCCACTGTCAAGCGCTGGAGTCTATCGTATACCATGCACATGTAGTAAGGTATACATAGGAAAAACAAAAACATCCATGGGAACCAGGAATCAGGATCAACGAGCACAAAAGAAACTGCAAACTAGGACAATCGGAGAAAACGGCAGTAGCGGAACATGCGCTTAGTGAAGGGAATCACGATATACTATTTGGTGAGGTCAAGCTTCTTGCACCGACTTCCGGATACCACAAACGCCTTGCACGTCAAGCTATAGAAATCCATAAACATACGGAGAACTTTAAGAGAAAAGAAGAAACACTAAAACTTAACCAAATCTGGAACCTGATCCTGAAAAACGCAAAAAAGATCCCATTGAGTACAGAGAAAGTTCAGATTAGCCATGTGCTGCGAAGCCCCGCGCCTCCCCCACCACACCCACTCACACATAAATACAACTCGCGGTCGGCAACGCGTCAGTCTTCTACCAGATTCGGACATGGAAGCACCTCTGAAGATGCTAGTCACGCGTGCTAGCGAAACGTCAGGAAAAAAATCCAACTTACGATGGCTATTAAGCCCGAATGAAAACACTTTATCAATGCAAATATTGTGCGTCGCTCTCCTGCAAGGTCTGTTTCTAATTACTCAGAGCGTACTCAGCTCCCATCTGAGATTCAGTCTGAAGGTGAAGACACTTGTGTTCGGCCCTCCTCAACTTCCTTAGATCCCCATCATAAGTGCAAATCTGCTCAATAAAAAGGCCCGACAGATTGAATCTGTAGTTTATCATTTATTTTTACTTTTTTTTATTGAAGGTATGTGTAGTTTTAGTTTCTAGAACAGTCCTGTCCAACAAGAGACCCGCGAGCCGCATGCGGCCCACGGCATCACTTTTTGTGGCCCGCGGAGCAGACCTCTGAATTTATAAATTACTCTCAAATACGAAATATGCACAATTCTCTCATTAACCATAAAATACAAATAAAAAGACATGTGACGCTACTGGCGATGGATTGAAGGTCGCAGCGAAACGAAGCAGCTGAGTAAGTGACTTATCAGAAAGAGATCATCTATATTTTGACTTTATAAATTTCATGTTGAAAAAGCTGCTTTCGCAAAGATAGGTGCTTTCCAGCACTGAGCCCAGTGTAAGCCCTAAGTTTCGCAGGTTGGGGTATCGTTCTTCTGACAGCAACTTGAAAAAGTCTAATCCATTTTCAGTTCTTCCTTGGTGAAAAGGATCTGATTGCAAATCACACAATTCCAGTTGAAGGTCTGCTCTGCTCACATTCTCAAATGAAATTGTACGGGGCTGAGGGAGAACTGAAATCTCTCTTTCAATTTTTTTGAAGTCGCTAAATCGATTTTCGAATTCTTCTCAATGTATGTTATCTGAGGTAAATTTGAAACTTCCTCAAAATGCTCTTTACAACTTGGAAAAAAATGATGAAAAACCATTTTTTTCTAATGAAGGCTTGAAGTTGAAGAGCCTAATTTTTTTAAGAACTGGAACTGGATTGAACATTTTCAAGTTGCTGCCAGAAGAACGATACCCCAACTTACGAAACTTAGGGCTTACACTGTGCTCAGTGCTGGGAAGCATGTATCTTTGCGAAAGCAGCTTTTGCAATATGAAATTTATAAAGTCAAAATATAGATGTTCTCTTTCTGATAAGTCACTAACTCAGCTGATTCATTTATCAAAAACAAATGTTAAAGTTAATATTGGTGCATTAGTAAGTGAGAACCAACATTCTCAAATGCCCCACTAATTTTTCTGTAATTTGAATATTTTTGAGTAAATGGAAATATTGCAAACGCGTTTTTTCTTTGTATACCATGCCTATTAAAACTCACGGATGAAGTTGCTTCTGAAGTATTTTATAATGCGGCGCCCCAAACCGTATTTTTGTTTAAAGCGGCTCTTGGAGATCTTGAAGTTGGACAGCCCTGTTCTAGAAGGTTCTGTTTATTTTAAAGAGAAGAGATGTATCATTAATAGTCACGACGGTAGAATGCAACCGTCGTTAAACCTTTGGCAACTGGCAATGTAGAATTAGGTCGTGTTACTGAACAGTCTTTTGTAGCCAAGCCTCTTGGGTATTGGCGGAAAGACGTTCAGTGGTAGCGCGTCACCAGTTAGGTCATAAAAAAGAAAATTGGATGTTCCTTTCTGTTTTCCTTCTGATTTTTTGTTATTCTGTGACATGAGGTATTGCTCCGATACCTACCAATGAACACAATAGGCATGAGGCTTCATGCCTATTGTGTTCATTGGTAGGTTTTGGAATGGTTTCAGAGCTTTTCGCCTATAGCGGTAAGCATTTCGTTCACACGAATAGGGTGTCATCTGACAGACAGCGTGCCACATGCGGCGTTCCCCAGGGATCTGTACCAATCTCTGCCCAATTTTCATAAATGATTTAGCCCAGTTTGGGATATTTAGGCTGTTTATATTGTTTGCCGATAACACAACCATTATCTGGCACAACAGGGACTTGTATGGTCTGGAACAGGACATTAAATCCGATCTTGGGCTGGTTAAGCAGTGGTGTGACGCAAATCGTCTATGCTTGAACGTCCAAGACTCATCTAATTGGTTTCAGATTTGATCTTTGGAACCTTGCTGAGGGCGACTCCATCTCTCTTGTGCACAACTCCAAATTTTTAGAGCTTACGATCGATGAAAATCTTAAATTTTATCCTCATATTCTGAAGCTGAATAAAAAATTGGCCACAGGCTGTTTTTCGGTAAGAAATACCTTCCAGAAGCTTGGCAGGGAAGAGGCACGCAATGTAGATTTTGCTCTTGTGGAATCACATATTAGATATGCACTACCCTTTTGGAGAGCCTGTGCACTGTCTTTGTTCTTCAAAAACGAGCAGTTCGTAATTTATGCAATGCTGTAAGCGGCTTTTCATCCAAAAATTCCCTTCTTACCCTACCTTCGCTTTTT